AGGTTGGCGGTATGCCAGAGCCTGGTCGGCGGGGCCTGCGAGGGTGAGGAAGGACAGTGCCGCGACGTTGAAGCCCTGTATGTGTGCAAAGCGGGCAGAGTCAGGAATCGATGCTAGACACAGAGGTGTTTCAGAACACTGTACTCACAGCGAGCTGAGTGGCAGGAGGGAGGACGTCCGCAGACACAAACTTGTCGGTGTAGATGACGAATGCCGGGCTTGGTGCAGCCGAACGGGCAACCAGAGGAGCCGGAGCAGCAAGGACGCTGCTAACGGAAGCCAGCGCCAGCGCGACAGAGACGGAAGAGATCATGCGAGCGAAGGAGAACATCTCTAGGACGTTAGAAGAAGAAGACAACAACAAGAGAGAGGAACGAAGGATGTAAAAAGCCGACTAGCGGACTTGAGAAATGTGAAGACGAACGAAAGTAAAGGAGCGGGTGCTGAGGTTGGCAGACCGCACATACCACACCTTTTGTACTCCTCGAGCGGAAACATAGGCGGTACGGCGCCCACCGAGGTGCGGTTACATCAAATGTCTACAACACCCAGTTTCGCTGAGGCGGTGAATTGCATGCGGCCGGTTGGGTGTGGGTTGCAACGATGGCGCGTCTGGTATGGCCTGGCCGTACGACTACATGTGATCTCTGAAATCAGTCGTCAGCACTTGCCACAAAGGTCCGCTGACTTTGCGTTACCGTATATTCAATCATGTATCAGGGTGCCGCAGGCGTTTGCAATGGGCGATGATCTGCTCACTGCCGACAGGCGCACGGGCGGCTGTCGTCGGAGGTAAATGGTCTGCAAGAGCCATCTTGTTTGTGCAGAGCCCATCATCTCTATACAGCGGGACGGCTACCGCTTGTCCACACAAAACGATGCTATGGGCAGTTGTGAGATGAGCCGTATGCTTGCCGACCGTTCGATCGCAGTATACGCCGGGTGTCTGTGAAGTCTGAGACAAAATGTGTTGCCGTAATGATTGATACGGATGAGCGTCATTCCGTCGATGTTTGAAACAACGGCAAGAGATGTGGTGCAGCCGCTGAGGCGTAGTTGATTGTAGCCCGTCTAAGGGATGACCTATTTTTGGAGGAAGTAGAACTGACAAGCAGCAAAAGTCACCATCCAGATCAGCCGACAGCTTTTTTCGACGTCGGGGAAGGTGTTGTGAACGGGGGTGAGGTCCGAGGGGAGCAAGCGTTGGTCAACGCGGACGAAGACAAGTGGGCGCCTGACCAAGAAGAGCCTGGTGGCAGTGCAATCTCTATATATGGCGACGCTCCCGTCGTTGTGCTTCGGTCGGTACTGCTGGAACATCTGAATTGTCGGAAGGAAAAACCCTATGTACTATCTCTCATAGTATCCAGACACAAACATGAACTGGATGTAAAGGGTCTTCCCCGAGACTATGTAGGGCCGAGCCGGTGCTGCCATAGCTGGCGCTCAACGGGTGGGTTCGAAAGAGGCGCCCATTGAGAGCCTCGTCGTCGTTTCCTGTGTACGTACGGCTCCGACGCTGGCCCCGCTCACTCTCTTCATCTGACCGTGATTGTGCTTTCTTTCTGAACACTGTAGCTTCTGGAGCGCGTCGACTGACTTTGATGACCCCTTTGCGTGGCGCGTGTAATGCGGCGCGACGTTCTCTGGTTTATCGTTGGGCAACCTCAGCGTCTCGACATTTCGCATCTCTGCACGCTGGTCCTGCCAATCAGTCCAGTGTGAACCCTGACGAAATTGCCCATTTCTCCAAACTCTCGCAAGCATGGTGGGATGAACGTGGCGAGTTTGGTCTCTTGCACAAGATGAACCCTGTACGCATACAGTTCATCAGGCAGAAGATGGTAAGTGTACTGGTCACAATCACTCTGGTTGCAACCCTGATACCCCGAAGTTGGAGATGCGGAGAGAAGATGGGCTAGATGATGTCAACATGGCGCGACCTTTGAATGATATGGACGTGTTGGATGTTGGGTGTGGTGGTGGCTTGCTGTGCGAGGTAAGCACTGGTGCAAATCAATCCTTCGTGTTGCTTACTTGTTGCAGTCTCTTGCAAGACTAGGAGGTCGAACATTTGGTATAGATGCCTCTGCGTCTAACATAGCCATCGCTTCACTTCATGCCTCCGCCGACCCTGGGCTTACGTCGACGCGAAAAGGGAATCACACCTTAACATACGAACATACATCTGTGGAGGACCTTCTGGCTCAACGAGGGCCCAAATCCTTCGACGTAGTATGCTCTATGGAAGTCATTGAGCATGTGGACAACCCAGCTGCGTTCTTGACTAATTGCGCCACGTTGGTGAAGGTGCGTCGTCCCCTTTCATGCGCTTGATCATCCGAATTCTCATAACCTGGTGTCCGGAAACGTTCCAGCCTGGTGGTCATCTATTCCTGTCGACGATTGCGCGCACCCCGCTCTCATACGCGCTCACAATCCTCGCCGCCGAACACATTTTCCGATTGGTCACGCCCGGCACCCACACGCATTCAAAGTATATCAACCCCGACGAGCTGACTGATTTCTTCCTCCGGCTCGATTCAGATCCGGCGTCGCAGAGCGCGGTCGTTGATCCGCCAGAGGTGCGCCGTCCCTGGATTTCACGGCTTTACGGCAGTGTGCCTGCGCGTACCGAGGCGGAGGTGCGAGGTATCATATATCTGCCATGGAAAGGGGAGTGGATGTTGGTCCCTCGAGGGGCTGCAGGCGCGAGCGCATGGGCGGAGGCGTGCAATTACCTATTCTGGGTTCGGCGACCTTTTGAATGAAAGTTAGTACATCAGGTCTGCCTCCCTCTATGCTGGGTGTGTGCCTGGGGCTTTGCCACGTTCCCATTGGAGATATGCCCTACTCGACCGGCCCATAAGCCAGACTCTGAGGGCTCCTCATAGTCATCTCCGTGCAACCCGGTGTGTCCGAAGACCATCTAATCCCGCATCCGGGACGGGGTAGGTGCATCGTCTTGTTTCCTCCCTGCGTTTCATGCCGTACTTTCCAGGTACTTTTGACGCCGGAAAGGCGTTCACAGCCTCATCATGTACCACCCGATTGTACTCACTATGCCCGCTCATCAAACTTGCCCGCAGGGATGTTGTCCGCCAGTGCATGTTCGCAGAGATAATCATATGGTGATCTATCCTTAGTTCAGCGACGGCATCTCTCATCATCCCAGCGCAGTTCAACGCCTGTAGCGCTAAGTGTCAATAATTTCTTACAGGTGAATAGGTATGTGCGTAGTAACCCTTGTGGATTCTGCCGATGCGAGTGTCCTATGCAGTGGTCGCGAAGGACATGAAATTCCTGTCGTCAATGGGTCATCCTCCGGCGTCTCGTCTTGTCTGGCCACAGACACAGCCCAAAGGCGGGCCTGGTCGTAAGGCAGTGAAGGTGAGTGCTGTATATCTTCACCATGCCAACTCTATTACAGAGAATTACCGCGAAATAGAAAGGGGTTAGTGCCCGTCGTAGGTCCCCATCAATCACCACCCTAGGTAGCGCTTACAGAGATGATACGCTGCTGATGTACAACTTACCTCCGGCGCATGTCGACGCGTCCCGCTCTACGGCATTGCTATGTCCAATGTGGGCGCATACAATTTGCCCCCGCCCGGTAGTTCCTTGAGGAGTACAAAAGGTGTGGTATGTGCGGTCTGCCAACCTCAGCACCCGCTCCTTTACTTTCGTTCGTCTTCACATTTCTCAAGTCCGCTAGTCGGCTTTTTACATCCTTCGTTCCTCTCTCTTGTTGTTGTCTTCTTCTTCTAACGTCCTAGAGATGTTCTCCTTCGCTCGCATGATCTCTTCCGTCTCTGTCGCGCTGGCGCTGGCTTCCGTTAGCAGCGTCCTTGCTGCTCCGGCTCCTCTGGTTGCCCGTTCGGCTGCACCAAGCCCGGCATTCGTCATCTACACCGACAAGTTTGTGTCTGCGGACGTCCTCCCTCCTGCCACTCAGCTCGCTGTGAGTACAGTGTTCTGAAACACCTCTGTGTCTAGCATCGATTCCTGACTCTGCCCGTCTTTGCACACATACAGGGCTTCAACGTCGCGGCACTGTCCTTCCTCACCCTCG